TTGCAACAGAAAGTCTATTAAGGTAATTTACCACATTTACAGACTAAAGGAATGGGAAGGAATCAGAAAGGGACACACATGGACACAGAGGACTTCATGAGGAGTGGTTATATATCAATTAGCTTTTGCTGTGTAACAAACAGCGATAAAATTTCAGTGACATAAAATAAACATCTACTTTCCATACATCTTAGAGTAAACTGGGAGACAACTCTTTTAGATTGGGCTCAGCTGGGCAGCTCAGTTTTAAATGGCAGGTCTGTGGGTTAGGCAGGTGACCAGAACCCAGGTGTTTCACAAGATTCCTGGACCAGCTGGCTAGATGCTGCAAGTTCACTTCATGGCAATGCAGCGTATTAAGGGGATTTACTTATACCCAAAACAAACATATTTCAAGTCCTTGCTTACATAATTTCTTCCACCATTCCCACTTGGCCAAAGCAACCTTCATGGTTCAGTTTCAAGTCAAGGAGTGGAGAAGTATATTTTGCCTTTTAAAAAATTTGTTCTAATCAGTTATACATGACAGTAGAATGCACTTTGACACATCATACATACATGAAGTATAACTTCTCATTCTTCTGGTTGTACATGGTGTAGAATCACACCAGTCATGTAATTATATATGCACAAAGGGTAATAATGTCTGATTCATTCCACTGTCCTTCCTACCCCCATATCCCCTCCACTCCCTTCACTCCCCTTTGTCTAATACAAAGTACCTCTATTCTTCCCTAGCCCCCACCCCCTCTTATCRTATATACTTTGCCTTTTATGGTACAGTTATAGGAGTACAGAACTGTACAGGGCCACAGGGCACATACAAATATGACATACATGAACATATACATTATCTATCATATATAATTTTGTATCTTCTAAGTATTCCAGAATGAAAAATTACTTAGATTCAAACTCCTGTGTCCCTCTCCAAAGCATCTGCTTTTGAGGTAGATAACCAATGAATATAAAGTCTTTATAGTTCCTCCCACCAGAAAGTGGAATCTATTTCTCAATTCCTTGAATCTGGTCTGGATCCATGATGCTGTCTCTAGCAGGGTGAAGTGAAAATGGCATTGTGAGTTTTAAGCCTACATCTCGAGAGCCCTGCAGCTTCAGCTTTTTCTGTGGCAGGGTTTCTCAACTTTCCTATTTTGAATGAAATAACCTTTGTTTTGGGGGCCTGTACTGGGCATTTCTGGATGTTGGTCAGTGCCCTGGCTTCTATGATTAGATGCTAGTAGCAATTCTCACCCACCCCAATTCCCCCAAGGGGAAAAGAAATTATTAAACTCACACATTGAGTACATTCTTGGGACCTTTCTTGTATTTGTTAGTTTTACAATCCTATCCAAAGAGGAAATGAAGTTGTTTTGGCAGGAGTTATTCTCCATGATCATCTCTTTCATCTTTTCTTTCTTCCATTCTTTCAATATCTTCCAAAAAGGACTTAAAGAGGTTTTACAAAGTACCAAGACAAAATAAATTCATAATAAATAAGAAAACAAAGCCAAGGGGAAATAAGGTTAGCGAGGCACGACAGAGCAGGACTAACATCAGCACTTAGCTATAGACAGTCCTGGGTGCCCCTGGCTAYTGGCTTCACCCTATGGGCCTCCTGGGTTTGTATTATTCAGTTTTTCATCACTGTGACCAAAATACTGACCAGAACTTAGAGGAAGAAAAGTTTACTTTGGCTCATGGTTTCAGAGGTCTCAGTCCATRGTCAGCTGACTCCACTGCTCCAAGCCCAAGGTGAAGCAGAACATCACAGTGAAAGGGTGCGACAGAGGAGAGCTGCTCAGCTCATAGTGGCAGGGAAATAGAGTTGGGGGAGGAGTCAGGGACAAAATATACAATCCCCAAGCTCCACTTCCTCCAGCTATGCTGGTCTGCCTAAGTACCACCCAGTAAGCCATTCAGATCATTAACTCATCAAATGGATTAACCTACTTATTAGGTTATGGCTTTCATAGTCTAATCATCTCAGCTCCTGCATTAACATGGGGGCTTTGGGGGGATACCTCGTATCCATACCATAATAGGGTTCTAACAACCAATACCTTGTCCTCTAGTTGCTTCTACCTTGCAAGCTGGTAACTCTTTATGTGAACATGGCTTGCTGCTCCCCCATCTTGCCATACCTTTGTAACTAGCTCCTTACCAAGTCCTCCTTACCTTGCAATGGTCCACGAATCATATCTTAATGCTATATGCCTGTTAGATGTGGGCCATACACACAACTCCAAGGTCTCATCTGTCATCAAGTGAGAAACACAAAGAAAGGATCTTGTCTTTCAAGAGAAGCAGATTTACTCCTGATGCCAAAATGGGCAAGAAATTTCCTGTGGTTTCTCAATGAGGACACGTGGTACATAAAAAAAACAAAAAACATTTTTTCTGTCTTACAGACCATCTCTAATCCACTCGGCTCAGTCTTTAAATATCTTCTCTTCTTACCCATAATGCTCTCTAGTTGATCTCAGTCACGGCTTAAATACCATACATATGCTGATCACTCCCAGTGTCTCCAACCCTGATTCCTCCCTTTCAGTTCTCACTATCCATCTGCCTACATTTGGTTGTCCAATAGGCATCTCAAATTTTTGGCAGGTCCAAACAAAACTTTCAATGTTTATTCCACAATCCTTTCCCCCTAGTCTTCCTTGCATTTGGCAGAGGGGCCCAGAATCCTTAACTCGATTGCCTGGGATATTATCCTGTATGGAAGTGTTAAATAAATTTTACAGGGAGGCCATTGGTTTGACTGAGTTCCTGCACTAAGCTCAAAAGACTAAACCAAAAATGCAGTTACTCATGCTGAAGTTCCACACCACTAAGTCACAACTAAGTTGTTTATCTGAACTTCCAAGAAATCAGAAAAATAATAGTCAAATTCCCAAACAAGAAAAATTTAGCTGGTAAGATAAGGAATTCCTCCCTGTTTTTACAAGAAAATTTTGAAACAACTAATTTGCTTGTTTTATTTTCTTTCTTTACTCAACCTTTTCTGTCTATAAAGTCAACCTCCTCTGCTCAGTTTATTAGAACATTTCATTTTTATTGAGGTGCAACATAAATATGAGATGAGGTGTTGCCCAATTCTAGAACTGCAAATAAAATTAATATCTTAAAATTGTATTTATTGTAATTTTTAATGTATTTTTAGTTGTAGATGGATACAATGCCTTTATTTTATTTATTTATTTTTATGTAGTGCTGAGGATCAAACCCAGTGCCTCACATGTACAGGACAAGTGCTCTACCACTGAGCTACAATTCCAGCCCACTTGTATTTTTTTTTTTTTACTGTGACAGTGTGTGTGTGCACAGATGTGTGCAAGAAAYTTATCATCCTTGATTCCTCTTTTTCTCATACTCCATATCCAAACAATCTATGCACCTTGTTGGCTCCAATCTTCAAAAATTCAGAATCTGACCAATTCTCATCTCTTCTCTCTCTACTATAGTAGCTCAAGCTATCACACTCTCTATCCTACCATATTTGCTCCTAATTGGTTTTCCTTCTCCTCCAGCATTCTCCCAGGGCCCCACCTCCAGCAGCCAGTGCATCTCTGGCTTTCTCATACAACTGTCATCGCCTGCTCAAAAACTGTCCAATTGCTTTCCACCATGTTTAGAATACAATTCAAAGACTTGACCCTGGTTTACAAGAACTGATGTGATTGGCTCCTGGCTATCAGCACATCTTTACTTTCTACCATTCTCTCCCTCCCTCTGTTCTAGTCATACCAGCCTCCCTGATATTCTGTGAGCAGGTCAGACACACCAGCGGAGACCTCAGACCTCTGCACCTGCTATTTCCTCTGACTCAAACACTCTTGTCCAGGTGGTTACATTCCTCATTCAGTCATTTCAGATAGGTCTCTGCTCAAACAGCATGCTCCCCTTCGGAGAGGTCTTCCCTGGTCACTGGCTCTAAATAGCTCTCCCACTTTCATTCCTTACTTTGTCTTTCTTCATAGCACTAATCAGCACCTGATGTCACATTATATATATAATTGTGTGTTTACTGCCTGTCTTTCCACTTAGAATGTAAGATCTAATAAAACAGAGGTCTTTGTTTCATTAACCCCAGCACCCCTACTGCCTGATACAATACTCAATACATAGCCCTAGATAACATTCATTTGTTAGGTGAATGAAACACTTCATTTTGTTTGTCTAGCTTCTTGACTCAAACTCATCAGGATTCAACAAACATTTGAGTCTCAATTATGTGTTACTTCACTATAGAAGCTTAGAACTATAAAAATCTGACCTGGATGGTGTTCTTTTAGGTGAGTACTAACTGAGAGAGGGCACAAAGAGCTCCCAGGGTACTAGAACTATCTGTTCTTTTATCTTGTGGTGGTTATACAGGTGCACACATCACAAGAGAGCTAGCATGTTAAGAAGAGCGCTATTAAACCTACCCTTCAGATTTGTGTATTTTAAGTTGCACTCCCATTTTTTTTTKGGGGGGGGGCTTTTTTTCCCCCATAAGTTTCTGACCGATCTGGGCACATCAACAGATTATTTCTAGTGGCAAGAGCAATGATACACAGCTTGCTTTGTGAGCAGTGAGAAAATCCCTCTCCAAATTTCATGGCTGGAATACCCTGATAAAAGGAAAAGGTTTCTCATAGCTTGTCATCCTGATATGAGAAACCTCCCAGAGATCGGGGGCTCTCGGTGCCTGGGACCACCTTCTCACTGTGGGGCTCCTCGTCGTGCCCAGCAGGAGCGTTCAACAGTACCCGAGGCCGGGTGTGTTGGGACCAGAGACCTGACGTGAGAATGGGCAAAACAGAGCTTTCCTCCGAGGAACTCGGGGCAAGAGTAACAATGGGACAGTTCTGAGTCCACCTTGCGTCCACGTGCTTTGGAACAGAGGGCTGCTTCAGGCCCGCCGACGTCACAAATCTTCGGAAGTTTGCGGCCAGGACGCACCACCACGCATGCGCACCGGGCAACCGCCGACGCAGGCGCACAACAGTGCCGCGCTGGGCTGCGYGAGGAAGGACCTCGCGCGCGGGCTGGCGGGCGCGCGCTCCCGGAGCGCAGCGCGCGTCATGGAACAGCGGTTAGCTGAGTTCCGAGAAGCTCGCAAACGGGCCGGGCTGGCTGCCCAACCCAGCACTTCGAGCCAGGAGGCACAAACCTCAGGAGAGAAGGAGGAAGTAGSTGCGACTCCAAAGGCAGTCCCAAGCTGGCTAAGACAGTTCCTGGTCCTGGTATGGAAACCGAGGCCCGCCAGCGCCSGAGCCCCGCCCAGCCACGCTCAGGTGAGCTGAGCAACGCCTCGTCGGCGGACCTGGCCTCAGGAACGCCGACGTGGCCTCCCCGCACACTCCGGCCGAGGCCCCGCCCCTCCCGGGGTTCCCGCCCGGCGCGTGGCTCCGCAGGCCCCGCCCTCCTCGGGAAGTAGAGCAGCCTCGGCGCTGGGACAGCTGCTGGCCTCCCTGGAGCTGGGGATCGGGCCTCCGGTGTTCTTCCACTCTGGTCAGCACCGACCCGTACGGATCTTTTCTTGCCAATCCGCATCCCACACAGCTCCTGAGTCCAGGCAGGAAACTAGGGTCTAGAATTGTAGACCCCTTTGTTACCGAACCCAGATTTGTATTTATACGCAACTCACAAAGGCAGTGACTTAGGTTGTGGGGCAAGGAAAAAGATTTATTTGGAAAGCCAGCAAACCAAAGAAGATGGGAGACTGTCACGACAAAAAAAAAAAAAAAAAAAACTTAGGAAACTCAGGTTCACAAAGGGCTTTTATAGGGATGGAGAGGAGGAGCTTGGGGCCACAGGCAACCAGGCTACTGCCAAGCTGGGTCTTCCTCATCTAGGGCTTGCTTTCTTTTCTCTTCTGCCACAGTATCCTTGAGATAACATTCGTCTCTTATGTCAGTACTATAAGTTTTTAGTACTTTAGTACTTTAGTACTTTAGTACGCGTTATTTTCCTGAAAGTTAAACATTAATTTACTTTTAAGTAAAGAACAAGATTAGCACATCCTTGGTGCACACTTAATGTTATCTGAAGACCATCAGATGTCCTGGGTTCTGTAAACCTAGAGAAAAGTTTCTGATTAGGAAGTTTTACCACTCGGGTTCCTTTCCCAAGAATTTTTCAGTTTCAGTTCCCTTCCCCAAGAATAACTAACCTTGTTAGGTAATCATTAGGATACAAAAGGTCTTTCCCCAGAGAACGGGGGAAGCTGGCCTAAGACAACTGTTTTAACCCCTTAAGTGGCTTCAGTCAGAGGAATCATCTACAGCCAAACTGTTGGGGTACTGAATTGTTTACCTGCCTCATCTCCAGAATTAGTGACTTTAAAGTCATCTAAAAGCAGTAGAAGCTGGAGGTTTTATTTAGGTTTTCCCAGTTACACTATGGCTTTGGGAAACCTCTCCATAACCAAGAGGGGCCTGGGTCCACTGCAATAGAGAGTAAAAGGTCTAACTGAATAGTAGTCAAAAGTGGCAGTAATTAAGGCCTCATTTTATTCACGTCTGCGGCACATGCTGGACCAGAAAGCCTGTACTTTAGAAATGGGGTTTGGATACAAAACTTGCAAAAGTGTTGTAACTAACTGCCATTGGTGGCACTTGCTGATGAATTGCCCTTGGACTAGAAAAGCTTATTCAAGTTCAATAATGAATGTTCATGGCAAAAAAAAAAAAAAAAAAAAAAAATGGGGTTAGTGTGATAGCCTTTTCATCCTTAATTTAATTCTTCTGGTAATCTCTTATTTTGCAGATGAATTTTAATTTGGATCTTCATTTAATTTTCCCTCATGAGTACAATGGCAGGGTGGCTGTATGGGAGACTGGAGTGTATGTGGGGGGATACCTAAGACAAAGCATGCCAGGAGATGACAGTGTGCTTTGCAGCAATTTGTGACAAGGTGACAAGGCCTTTGTTCCTCATAAGAACCAAAGAATACCTTTTAAATGTCAAAACATATTGGAGCAGTATACCTTGTTCACTTTAAAATTATTTCCCTTAAGTACATCTATTATTGCACAACATAGATCTTAAGGAGTTTTTTTTGTTTTGTTTTATTTAATCAGGAAAAACTTGTTACTCAATTTTGATTGGGTGTTATTCTCCACAGTATGGTTTCCACTCACTTGTAGAAATAGTGGGCAGCAGGGTTCTACAATCCATTCCTTTCCTGCAGTTTGTCTCAGTTGTCTTTGGTTCATTAGAACTCATGAGCACAATTGCTCAAGATTTTAAAATCCATTTTCCCTACTCTTTGTTCCCCCTGTAGTTAAAAAACAATGTCTAACACACACAATAAGCTTTACACTGTAAGTCTCCTTTCTGAAGGACTATGAGATCATTAAGTTGAACTCAGAAAAGCTGAACTTGGAGAAAGCTTCCATTATTAAAAGTCCAAAAGCTGATGGCCTGACAAAGGGATAAGAGGAAATGCTGGACACTGATTGGCTCCAGTTCATTGCTTTGCTTTTTAGAAGGGACTTAGCCTTAGGCTCATTTTCATCGACTGTTATCATTCCTGGTTTTGCTTTGGTGTAGAAATTCTCATTAAAAAAAATTTTTTTTTTAAATTACTATCCATCTCTATCTAATAATTTTGATAGCACATTGGCCCATCAGAGACTTCGTTAGCTTTCTTTTTATAATTGCTTCTTCTCAGTAGTCATTGATAAGGAAATATAAGTATCTTTCATCTTCCTTGCCCCAAATTTTGCTTGGGAAAAAGCAAGCCCCTCCAAACTCAGTATTTAATTTTGTGATGAGCTTCTACCACATTAGGAGAAAAATGCACGTGGCTTTTTTTTTTTAATCATCCTACAGAATCCTCCTGTCCCCTTCCTCGGTGTCATCCCATGCAGGCACTGCCCAGCTGTAGGGACCAGTCCCCACACTTATGGGCAGCACTTCACTGCCAGCTTGGCTCAGGCTGGCCCATGGCTYGGGTTTCTTCTCTGGAGCCATCTGGCCAAACACTACCGTGCATCACCACGGGAATTTTGGAGTCATCTTGAATTTTTCTTTCCCTCGCCATCATTTATTAAGTCCTGTCGCGTGCCCAGGGGTTCCAGCTTTTGCCCTCAATCCTAGGAGATAGTGTGACCAAGACACACAGTCCTGCTCACCTATAACTTCCATGTCAGCTTGGGGCAGCAGGGGAAGGAGGACACAACCAGACAAAAAATGCTATGAAAGGAAAAAAATAAATGCAGGGTACTGTGGTGGGGAGTTGGGAGTGACGTTGTGTATTAGGCGAATAGGGAGAGCCTCCCTGAGTAGATGACATTTAACTAGAAGGAGCCACCCTTGCAGAGACCTGGGAACAAGGCTAAGGACACATGTGGTGACCCTGATCTGAAGTTTGTAGAGGAGGCAGCCTGCCAGGTGATGGGAGGGGAAGGCTTGTCCTCTGAGCCCTGTGGGTGCAGAGGCCCTGAGGTGGGAAGCGGCTGGGTGCTGGAAGAACAGAAATGCCATCCCTGAACTGCACCCACTGTGACATAACCACCACCAACACGTCTGCACATGGCTTTTATAGACACCCTGTAAGTGAAGCAGAAGAGTCCCCTGTTCCCCCTCTCCCTTGTTTGTGCCCACTGTTAGTTTGTTTGCCATCACCACTGCACCTCCCTCTAGCTCTCTAGCCTCTTCCCTGCTGTCTCCCATAACGGCCTCTAATGAAACCAAAAGGGCTTTGGAGGGGACCATTCTAACATCCTAGGCAGACCTTACCCCTCCTATCACTAGTTGTAATTGCTTAAACCTCTCATTGTTTCCATACCAGTAAATTGGGAATAGTAATGCTTGCCTTCTAGATTACAGGAGATCAGGCATTTTGGAGGTACTCAGTAAATGGAGGCATTTTTTTAATGCTTCCTGAATATTAAAATAAATTCAACTTACTGTGAACTTCAGTTCATTGACATTCAATATGTATTCTGTATCCATCAATCCATCATTTCTCATTGACTTCTGCTGCCACCTGATCCATGCCTGATCCTGTCTTGCTGGGCCTCTACATGAGCACTAACACTTCCCCTGTACACTTTTGGTCCCTTGCAATGCATTCTCTATATGGCAATAGTAGTTATCAATTGGATTGTGTTAGTTCCCTGCGAAGACCTTCAGTGGCTTCCCATTTCCAGAATCTTTGTTGTGGCCTGCCTGGCCTCTCCCACCATCTCAACCCACCCCCACCCTGCCTCTTCACACCGTCTGTCTCTCTTCTCACACAAGCCAAACCTGTCCTCCCCAATACATCCCTCCTCTCGGGCAAGAACTATTGGGCACACTGGTCAAATCTGAAAGGGATATTTCTTTAATAAATGTTAGGTAAGGCCATGTTGCTGATGAAATCATCATTTCAGACCTTCTGATCCAGCTGAAGATAATAATTACAATGTTGATACTAAAAAAGAAAGTTCCAACAAAATGGAATTTTTAGCACTGTAAATCAGATGACCAGTAGTTTTTATGGAAGCTGATATTTTGGGTCCCTTTTTAAATATTCAGGAGAAGAACAGCAGGGRATATAACTGAAGAGGCAGTTGTAAAAACTGAAAGACCTGCTCTGTATTGAGAATCTGTGTGGGAGGTGCTGTGTTTGGTTCTGGAGACACAGAAGGACATGACAGTCCATGGCCTGTGTGGTATGTATGAACTGAGGGACACACGTGGCCTAAATTCACAGACCTTTCAGTGCTGAAGATTTGGTACTTGTGGAGAAAGAGCCAGTTAGTGCATTGGGAGACAAAGGGGCACCCTCCCTGATGGCCAGAGAGGTCAGGGCATGCCCAGTTCACTAACTGCTGGCCTGGGCGGAAGGAAAGGATGTCTTCGGCAGTAAGACCAGTTAAGTTGGAAGAGAGGACCGTGCGTGGAGCCATGAACTGGGCATTGAATTGCACAGGCAGTTTTTAGGCTTTTGCTTTTCTTTTTTTTCTTTTTTTTTTTTTAAAGACAGAAGGAGAGAGAGAATTTTTTTTTTAATATTTATTTTTTAGTTTTCGGCGGACACAACATCTTTGTTTGTATGTGGTGCTGAGGATCGAACCCAGGCTGCATGCATGCCAGGCGAGCGCTCTATGGCTTGAGCCACATCCCCAGCCCTAGGCTTTTGCTTTTCAAGCTGCAAGTTGTGACCCATTAGTGGATGGTGAAATCAGTATAGAGGCTGTTGTTCCTCATTAAAAATTGTTTAAGAATAGGGTAGAATAGGAAATAGGAGTTTCTCAGGAGGGTAAGTGTTGACTTGTGGCACTTTGTTTCTGCTGCATGTCTGTGTGCTGTGTTGTAGTAAAATATGTATTCCTTCTTGTGGGTCTTGTCCAAAAACATTTGAAAAAAAATGGAGTGGAGAGGAAGCTTCCTACAGCTACCTACATGTGGTCTTCCATTAGCACACCGCACAGGGGTTGTGAACTGGCATTTCTGTCTGTGGAATATGTGGAGACCTTTGGCTTCCAGCTACAGGAGTTTGAATTTTAACCTGTAGATAATGGGAATTTATTGAACTTTTGTGGACAGGAGGGTGGCAGGTCTTTTAGAAAATTAATTTAGCAGTTATGTATTTGCTGTTTGGAAGGGAAGAGACAGGAGGCAGAGTCTGCTCAGGAGATGCTGCCGGGGCCTTGGGATGAGTGACGGATCTGGAGGATGGTTATGGGGTGGGATGGTGAGAGGGTCTGGTACTGGCCATAACACTGTTTTTTTTTTTTTTTTTTTAATGTGTAAAAGGGATTTTTGCCTCCCTGTTTTTGTTTGTGCAGTGTCCACTTTAGAATCATGTCACTCATAATATTTTATCTAATCAAGTCATCAAATGTCTGTTGACTGTGTGGGAGGCAGACATCACGGCTGTTGTATTATCAATTACCGGACTGTTTTTGTTTGGGGCACAAATTAGCTTTTGTTAGCAGCGGACTAATTTGAGGAAATAACTCCCATGAATGGGACGCTATCTGAGTGCATAAGGTTTTTGTTGGGTCACATCTCCCTATGTGCTGATTGGTTTTGGTTCCGCTGAAGCAAAGCATATGCACTCTCTGGCAACGCTTGTTTTAGAGAACAGGGCAAGAAAATAGAAATCAGTGAGCCAGCAGCCTTCCCAGAACAACGCGGACTGCCTCTCTAGATGAGTTTTGGTCCTCTCAGCTCCATTACCCTTTATTCTGACTTGTGTTTGCTTCTGTCTCCTAGGAAGCAGCTCAACCTGGGAGCAGCACAGCCCARCCCCCACAGGGCACAGCCATTCCTCCACAATGGCACCGGAACCAGCCTTTCCTGACCAATGTCACCTTCTTGAAGATTCTTCTCTGGTTGGTCCTCCTGGGACTGTTTGTGGAGCTGGAATTTGGCCTGGCTTATTTTGTCCTGTCCTTGTTCTACTGGATGTATGTAGGGAC